GCGAAATGACATTAGCTAAATATGATTACGTCTTAATGTTCCCTGAAAGGATTAGGCTGGTTAAGACATACTGAAGGGAAAAGCAATTATCTATTGAAATATGAATCTCTTGTTTAGAACTGGAAATCGTCTATTGGTATTAGAATGATCATCTGGAATTTTAAAAACCCGAATCTTGTCATTATTTCTTCCTTGACTTGGAAAGAACTTCAGTGGGGCTAGTTTGGAGGCATTTTTCAGGGGCCAGAATGAAAATACAACATTTCACCGAATGGACTCATTCATTCTTTTTTAAAAATATGTTATTGATTTCAGAGGGGAGTGGAGAGGGAGAGAGAGATAGAAACATCAATGATGAGAGAGAGTCATTGATCGGCTGCCTCCTGCATGCCCCACACTGGGGGCTGATCCCGCAACTCGGGCCTGTGTCCTGACGGGGAATTGAACCATGACCTCCTGGTTCATAGGTCGACACTCAACCAATGAGCCACGCTGGCTGGGCAGACTCATTCAATCTTTAGAGGAACTTCAACCTTAGGAAGTTCTAACTACATGAGAAGTAAAGGCACTCGCATTATCTTTTTTCGATTTTTCTCACTGCCTAAATAAAACCATGAAACTAATCAATATTCAGTCATCTTAGACTTGTATTAGTATAACTTGGAGTGTGCTATTTTATTTAAATTTCTCCCATTTTAAAAATGTGAATTTATAATTGCCTCCATGGTGATAATTCCCCGTGGGTCCTTCAGAATATAATGTGCTGCAAATTTGAAATGATCATTAATGCGTGATTAATATGTGGCTATGATTCTCCCACTGGACGGGGGTGTGCTTGCCTAATATCAATTACCTTGTTGTATTGAAAAGGTATTTTTTTTAAAAAAAAGAGTTTTTTGGTTTTGGTTTTTAAGCCTTGGTATCCTCAGCAACAGCGTAGTGTCTGGTACCTGTTAGATGGATTCTCAATACCTCTTGAATGAATGGATGAGTGAATGAATGAACGGCTTTCATTTCCAGCTTGGCACAGGGTTGGCTTTCACATCATACTTTTATTAGTAATTTGAACTTACACATCATTATCAAACACCAGGACGAAGTGGGCTGTTGGGCCCCTTGCTTCTCGAGGCCGGGGGCAGCTGGTTCTGTTTGTAACCTGCATTGCCATGTAATCCGGGTCCCCTGCAGTCATCCTTCCCGAGAGACACATCGCCGTGGGTGCGGGCGCGTTTCCGGGGATCCGCTGGCCCCGGAAATGAGACACGGCGTATTGCAGATACAGGGCGTCTCGAAAAAATGTATGCACCCTTTAAGAGCTGATTCCTGTTACATTTTGAAAATGAAATGTAGTTTAATAAATACTGCCTTTATAATTATTCAAAGTGTGTGTACATTTTGGGGGGATGCTGTATATATATATGCACGTGTATTTTTAAAATATTAATTTTTTAAGAGAAAAGGATCATGATTTTCCTTGTATTCTTGTAGGGATCTTGTGGTCAAAACATTAAAAATCTTCTTTTTCTATAAATACTGTATTTATTTTACTTTATTATTCCTAAGAATCACCAGGAAGACATGAAAAATGCACATTTTCTTCCTCCCTCCATAAAATCGGACCCGTCAGGACTAGGGGGAAGTTCATGGACAGGCTTCCTCTCCTTCCACCACTTTCTGCAGACCTATTTGTTCAGTCTGCCAAGCGATTCCCATGCATTATTTCATGTAATTCTGCCGACGACCCAAGGTTTCACTTAGAGTGAGCCCCGTTAAGGAACCTGCGTAAGGACCCCTGGCTGGTCGGCATCACACCCAGCTCTGAGGCCAGAGCCAGTTCCACTACCTTAGTCTTTTGTTTTCCTTCATCTGAAACATGTTGACTCATCTTGAAGACATGTTCAGAAGTAATGAACTCCCAGACACCTCTGCTCCAGAATGAACCCCTCTCTTCTCCCCTGACTGCAATCAGCGTGGGGTCTCGTCTTACCTTGATGTCCCTGGTTATGTGCTTAGTATGACGCCAAGCACAGAGTAGACTTTTAAGAATTTTTTTTTTTCTGAATTGAGATTTAATTGATTGACCTGAGGTTTTACTACTAAATAATTTAGAGACTTTGGTTCTAGTGGCTGTGCCATGAACTCTCTGTGACTTGGATGATGGAACTGAGTTTTCTCATTTATTAAAATGGGTTTTCTGATTCTAAAATTCTAATTAGTGTATAGAGCTTAGATCCAATCTGTTTAGTTCTAGTTACTGTGATGATTTCATAGAGAGATGCAGCCCTATGAAAATGAAGTCGTAGGGGAGTCATGATTTCTCTCGTTTAATAATGTAAGCGGCTAACATTTCCGCTTCTTTCCTGCTCCATGCAGCCCGTGACTCTGTCGCCGTGTGGTTGAATTCGTTATTCTGTGGTGTCTGATCTTATTTACATTTCTCAGCGTCCAGAGATCTCCTAATGGGTTATTTAGTTTCCAGGTTGCTGTTGATATTCCCCTCATTTGTTTTATTATCCTTTCATACAGTCCTTAACACAGACGAGAGATAAAACACTATCAAATCTATCACAGTTGAAACTCTAGACCTTCCCTCAACCCCCGGGCCTTCATTTGGCAGCAGGCCACCCAAACCCGTCCTTTTTGATGCGTACTTTCTCGTTTCTGCTTTAATTGCTGCCAAAATCGGAGCCCTTGGGGATTTAATTGCTCATTATATTTGTCACGGTGGTGTCACAGGCCCAAAGAAAGACTGTTGCATGCAAAATATTTATGGGTATTAATTTGGCTTAAACGTGTATATTGGATTCCTTGTTTCTGTCCAGCACATCTGGAGAGAAAGGAGACAGAATTCTGCAGGGACTCATGCCCCACGTTACTAGTAAGTGGTTCTCTCTCCAGTCTGGTGTCTACATTTAATGATCAGCCCGGCCGGTGTGGCTCAATGGTTAGGTGTCGATCTATGAACCAGGAGGTCACGGTTCGATTCCTGGCCAGGACACATGCCCGGGTTGTGGGCTCGATCCCCAGTGTGTGGCATGCAGGAGGCAGGGGATTCATGATTCTCTCTCATCATTGATGTTTCTATCTCTCCCTCTCCCTTCCTCTCTGAAATCAATACAAATATATTTTTTAAAAAATAAATAAATACATAAATCAGTTTAATGAGCCACACCTAGAAGAGGACCTATTCAGAGCTTGATCATGTTCACTTTATTCACCTTCCTCTTCGAAGCGGTCTCGGGGCGATCGGAGACTGGGTTCAGATCCCTGCTCTGTCCCTTCCTTCCAGATGACCTTGGGCAAGTCCTCGCCATCCCCCCGTGCCCGTTTCCTCGTCGGGAGGGTCAGGATATCTGTGCTTCATGCACATTCAGTGCGGGAGGCTCCTAGGAGCATGTCTCCTACAGAGTAAGCCCTCAGTGGTGGCTGGTTTCCCGCAGTTCATCCTGTGCCCACACACGGGGACATGGACCACTGTTGCTAATGCGGATCTCCAGTTTCCTCCTCGTTGAGGAGGGATGGCTCCCATTGTTGCAGCGAATGGAATGTCTGGTCCACGTGAAATGTAGTATCTTCCATGTTCTTCTGTTTTTCCGTGTGCCCCGGCTGGCTTGCTCCGCGATGTCCAGGTTCAGAGGCCTGCTTCTCGCCCCAGGGTTGATTACTAATCACGATCTTTTCTCGTGCTTGCTGATGTGAGTAGTTCGTTCATTCTCTCTGTGTCCCTCCTTCCCCTTCTTTAGCCCCTGCCTTTCCTTTCTTTTCTATGAAATGCACGCACCGATATGCCTCTGCAATTATCCTAATCAAAGGGCATGATGAGCTGCTGGAAAAGTAGAAAGTGCGCGTCACCACCGTGGACAGGTCATGTTTTTAGACGGGCTTGGTAGTTTTTTATATTCTGGAAAAGAAATCTCCTGTGTCCTACTTATGCCTGAAATTATCTTCTGGGATCGTCCTACGCTAACATGGAGAATCCCCTACAACGAAGAGTATCTTTCAGTATTTGTTACTTAGAAATGAGCTTGTCATTTCTCTCAGACGCATACTCTCCCAGGAACCGGATTGAGCACAAACTGACAGGAGGACGTGTAGTTATCCCAAATGTTACGGGCGTGTTATTGATAGTGGACGTGACAGCGAGTCCGTTTGCCCCTCACCCAGTGGATCGGATACCTAATGTTATTAACGGATGAGCAGATGAAGATGTTAGTTGCTTGGGATGTTTATCTCATATGGTAAAAGACTAACATTTTTCTCCATTTTATTTCAACCCCTGTACCTCTGCCTTGATACCATCATATGCTGGTATTATTCTAGAACAATGTATTTTTTAAAAAATCTTGGATTTGATTTCCATGTCAGGACACAGAAGTAATTCTGGTCAAGGTAACAGTTGGACCTTTCAAATGCTTACAGGGCTTCCTTCCTTCCTTTACTGTTTTGTTGGGAACAGGAGACTCTGCAGATGCCCGAGTGTCACACGGGAGGGCTCTGTCCCTTCCTATCAGACAACCTAACGCTCACTTTAGGTTGCCATTGAACTTCATGGCAAGATGAGTGCCTTTAACCACTTCCAGATAAAATCACTACTAACGTTGAGGCTTCTGATCACGAAAAGGAAGACACACCCTCAGGCGCTCTGGAACCCGGCCAGCTGAGTCTGAGGACTTTGGCCTCAGATCCTGGAGCCGGGGTGAGCTCAGTGGACTTCCTCAGGCTTCTTTGTCCAACTTTTCTCTCCTATCTCTGTGGCTGGATGTCCCACGTAGATCCCGGAAAAGGATCTGGGGGATTTATCCAAGGTGTCCCTTGAGATAAACTCTAACCGTGCAGGTGTGGGACATTCAAGTAGTTGCTAGCGAAGAGGCTACTCTACGCAAGCAGGACCATGGGCAGGCCTAGGTCCAGAGGGACCAGAAGCTTTCATTTAAATTTTAAGCGTCCGCAAAATAATTCAGTTAACTGCCAGAGGAATTACACCACATGAAACATATGCAGTTGCAAATCACACAGCTTTTTTATTACTCACACAAATTCCTGAGCTGTGGGTACAAGCTTAGTTAGGGATCCTTGTGGTGCTGTCCTTTGGGGTCCGGCAGCTGGGCTGGGCTGGTCCGGGTGCAGAGGGCCGGCGTTCCTCACCTGAGAGCTCAGTCGCGTCTCAATCGGGTGTTACCATTTTTCTGTCATTTGGCAGAGAGAGGAGTGTGGAGCAGCGTCCCTTGCTGGACTGGCAAAAGGACGTGCCTTTGTGGCTCTCTCGACAGATGAGCATCGTTAGCTGGCCAGGGTCCATATTTAAAGCTTGTTCGTACCTGTAGCAGCTCAGGTGGCTATCAATGATTTACGTCAATGCGCATATGTTAATCTCAAACAAGGCGAGGGGCTAAGGAGAGTAGTCACTCAGGCAAGTGTTTATCTTGACAAGTCACTGCGTTAGTTTAAATCCTTATCTCTGGGGTACACAGGCTTCAAGGCTGTGGGCAATGTGTCTTTAATATTACACTTTAAGTTTTAAGGAAAGTTAACTCAAACATTTTAAAACTTTTCTAACATTCTTTAAGCATTTTTAAACATTTCTATATTTTACTACAACACTGGATGAACCAGATAGTCAAGTAGTCTTCCAGCCCCACTGTTTTATGCTAGGGATGGGCTTTCAAGAACTTGAAACTCAACAATGTTATTTGTTTTATTGACTCTGAGATGAAATATACCTGCCCAGAAGGATCCCTTGTGGTTCGTGGGGCCCAAATTCATAACCAGAATCTAGCAGTCACTCTTTGCAGACGCCTTGGATGCAGGATGCATTTCAGGGAAAAGCCAGACAGAGCTGCCAGCCTCCTGCTCTGTGCTCCTGCCAGCTGAGCCCACCTTTTAACGGAGTTCCTGGAATCCTATTTCAACCAATGGGCTGAGATCTGCCCCATCCAATGAGAGCTGCAGAGCTATAGCCTCATTTGCATCTTTACTAACCAAGAGGAGCAGCTCCATAGCAACCGATCAGAATGCCCAATATCCACCAATCAGGACAGTGCTTTTGGGACCAATCAGACTGCAAATTTGGATTCCTCATTTGCATAGAAATGGACCAATCAGGGACCAGGGCAGGAACTTTATATAAGCGGGCCACCCTTTTTTTCTCAGAGGAGTGCAATTTCAGTTGGTTGGCTAACTGTTCATCTGAAAAAAGTTTCTCTTTTTTCTGCACCCCATACTGGGGCCTCCTGTTGGCACTGGATTGGTGGCAGTGAGCTTTTGTTGACAGATTCTTCTTTTATGTCTTTTATGAACTCGTCCCTCTGCAGCTGTAGATGCCAAGAAAAAGTTTAAATTACAGTGCAGGTGGCGAGAGGAGGAAGGTGATGAGGGATTTCAGGGCCAAAAGAAAAACAGATAAACCAAAAATTGTGTGGTTCATTCTTTATGCTCTCAATCCACCACATAGAAAAGGAGGCAGATGCACTTTTTGTGTGTGTGTGTGTGTGTGTGGTAACATCTGGAACCTTTGAGATCCTGAAAGCATTTTAAAAATATAAACCTGAGGGCGTAAAATGTCTTCAAAAATAGTTTTTCAAAGTTGTCTACACATGGATTTTATGGTAATAGGACCTTTACCCCAAACAGCTGATCAGACAAGCATTCATTTTTTGGAAAGATTTATAACTTATAAGAAATATTGTTTTTTAAATGTTTTATTACATTTTATTATACAGTTTTTCCCAAGGGACTTCAGACATGACATTGGAATGACAAGAGGCTTTGTGGACTCCATCTGTGTTTGCTTCTGATTCTGAGCTGGTGTGTCCGATGCCTTAAGTATTTGTTATCTGTGACTTTCTTTTGCTATGGGCATGATTGCTCTAGTCTAGGGAGTAACTTTAAATGGCTAAATTGAGATCTTAAAATTCTCTCTTAATTACAATAGTGTAATTATCAGGCCATTCCACTGGTGTTAATGTTTATATCTCACATTTATAATAGCATTGTGGGTCTTAAAAACAGTGTTCTAACTCAAAACAATTGTTTTTAAATAAAGAGATTCAGATATATAGTGTTATGTGGTTTTGTTAATTCCTGATAAATGCAACATTTCTAAGGTTTTCTTAAAAGCCAACCATACCAAACAAGAATATCTTGTCCAGGGATAGATTTATTTCTATTAAATGAATCCATCCAGCTAAGATTTTACACACACACACACACACACACACACACACACACACACTGTGTATGTATCCAGAATTGGAGCTTTATTAAAAATATGCCCATAGCAATTAAATAGAACTATCTATTCCCTCATCTGATTTATAAACCATCTGTGAGGAAGCATCAAATTAAAGATAGGTGTTGTTTTCCAAGTGGAAAGCCATAAAGGCTATGCAACCTTCCACTTTAAGATTTAAATGTGATATTACTGGGCCAAATGGCAGATCGTACTCATTTGTGGAATATAAAGAACATTATGAACTGATGAACAAAAATAGATACAGAGGCAAAGAAGCATCGAACAGACTGTCAAACTACGGTGGGAAGGCAGGGGAGGGTTTGGGGGGGGGGTAAGAGATCAACCGAAGGACTTGTGTGCATGCATATAAGCATAACCAATGGACGCGAGGCCGGGGGGAGGTCAATGGGGAAAAAAAGAGGAGACATATGTACTACTATTTGTAATACTTCAAACAATAAAATAAAATTTAAAAGAAGAGATTTAAATGAGAGACAGAAGAGATGCGTGTGAATTGCTGGGGTTGGGCTTATGGCAAACCTCCATGCAGAGACAGGAAGTGTAATCTGACCTCAGAAATTACACATTGTTTTCCATTAATGGCTAAATTTGGGGAATGAAAAGAATGAGATTTAGAATCAGAAACTCTGAATTTGAGTACTGTCTCTACCATAGATAGTATCATATCCTTTGAATACATTTTATGAAAACAATTTGAATTCAATGGAAAATTAGTTGGAATGAATAATCCCAGTCAATGAATATTTTTATATGACTTTTTTTAAGCCATTGATTCATTTTCAGCCCAAATAATTTAGTTACTCATCTTTGCATTTAGAGTTATCTAAATGTCATTCTTTAAAACGAGTCACTATATATAAAGAAAGTTCATAATTTTAATTAATAAAGTGTCAAAGCTTAATCAGGGTTAGACTTCATTACAGAACTGGATCTTTGGTACAGAATTTTAATAAATAATAAAGTGTTATTTCATTAGTATTGGCTGGGAGCTAACATTTATTAAGTCTTTGATACTTTGAACTTCTTATAGGCATTCTTTAATTTTAACTACAATGACATGTGATTGCATTATGATTTCTTAACCAGAACACACTGTCATCTGAAAACATTTTACTGCCGTATAACGACGTGACAAAGCAAACAGATCTTAAGCATCTAGTTCCCTGCATTTTTACTCAGTGAATTAAAGGGTATCCTAAAGACCCTCTCATGCCTCCTGTAGCCATCATCTACCAACTTCCATGTACCGTACATTTCATAGAAATGCAGTCATACAGTGTGGCCTTTTGTAGCTGGCTTTTTCACTTGGCATAGCGTTTTCAAGTCTCATCCATGTAGCATGGATCAGAGCTTCCCTTTTTATGGCTGAATAATATTTCATTGTATCGGTATATCACTTCTGTGTATCCATTTATTATTTGATTGACCTTTGGATTTTTTCTACTTTTTTACTTTTATGAATAATCCAGTTATGAACATTTGTGCACAAATGTTTATGCCGTTATATGTTGCTCTAAATCAGGAAATATGAGTTCTTTAAATTTGCACTTTTGTTTTTTAAGAATATTTTGACTATTCTAGGTCCCTTGTAATTTCATGTAGTTTTAAGATCCATCTTGTCAAAATTTATAAAAATAAAACATCGAAATCCTGAGATTTTGACAGGAATTGCTTTTATATCTTCAGATTGATTTAGAAAGTGGTAAGATTTTAATAATATCATGTCTTCTAATCCATGAACATGGGATATCTTTCCACTTACTTTCGTTTTTTAAAAATTTTAGGTGATGTTGCATTCTTTTGAGTGCACAAATCGTATGCTTCTTTTGTTAAATGTATTTGGAAGTATTTTACTCTTTTTTATGCTCATAAATGGAATTGCTTTCTTATTTTCACTTTTGCATGGTTCACTGTAGCTGCCTACTTTTGAGCTTCATGTAAATGGAATAAGTTTGCTCTGCACCACTTTCTGTGCTCAACACCATGGCTGTGAGGTGCATCTATGTAACTGCACGTAGCCACAGCTTGCCCATTCTCACTGCCATGAAGTTTTCCACTGCATTTACGCGTCATTCTCTATACCTTCCACATGGAGGTGCATGCGACTTGTGTCCAGTTTGGGGCTACTTTGACTAGTGGTCCCATCACCCTTCTTGTTCCAGGTGAACACGTTGCACACTCGTTTTGTTTTCCTGGGTGGAAACGTTCAGCTTTGGAAAGGGCTGCTAATTAGCTTTTACAAAGTGGTCGTAACAACTGACAGTTCCAGAGCAGTGCGTTAGTTGCTTTTTATACTAAAACTAGAGGCCCGGTGCATGAAATTCATGCACGGGTAGGGTCCCTAGGCCTGGCCGGTGATCAGGGCCGAGCGGGGCCTTCCAGCTGCTGGCCGGGGTCTTCCTTCCCTGGCTGCCAGCTGCCGGCAGGGGCCTTCCTTCATTCCATGCCACCCCCGGTGGTCAGCACACGTCATAGAGAGTGATAGAATTCCGGGTCTTTCAGTCGCACTCCAGCAGGGACACTTTGCATATTAGCCTTTTAGATATATAGCTAAGAGCCCACTTTGTGCAATCTATCCTTTTCATTTTCGTCATTTCCAAAGTGCGTAGCGGTATCTCATTCTTTAAATTGGCATCTTCCTCATGACTAATGTTGTTGAGCATGTTTGCTTGGTTTTTTAGTGGAATATGTGGATGTTCCCTTTACGTAGTATTCATAGAGTCTTTTGCTCACGTCCCATTGAATTATTGCCTTTTTCATGTTTATTTGTAGGACTTTTAACTTATTATGGCTATAAGTAATTTAAATAGTGTGATATTGGCACAAGTATAGGAAATTGAGCAGTCGGCCAGTAGGGACCCTGGAAACAGACCCATATGTGCCGTGACTTACTTTATGGAAAAAGATGATTCTGAATTACAGTGGGGGAAATGTCTTTTTTTTTCCAATAAATAGTAATGATTGAATTGATTACCAATAGGTGTGATTTCCTAACTCACACCATATACAGATATGCCATTCCCAGATGGATTGCACATCCAAATGTGAAATGTAAAATAGTAAAGATTGGTGAAAAAGTATAGGAAAGCATATTCATAACTTTGAGGAAGTCAAAGCTTTCACACAAAGGCCACAGAGAGCACTAAGCATAAAGTTAAGCAGTAAAAAATAGGGCCTCATTAAACATAAGAAATTCCCTTCATGAAAAGACACTACGAAAAAAGTGAAAAGATAAAACAAAGGCCACAAGAGGCTAGTTCTAATTTATGTAAAAAGGAACTGTTATTCAGAATTTAAATTATTTTGGCTACATTATGGTAATTTTCAAGATTTTTATTATAAAAGTATATATAAGTATGTGTTAAAAAGAATATTTGCCTTAATTTGGCTGAATTTAAAAATCAAGGTAAAAATAGAAGTACATATATACCCATAGATTTTAAATAAATTGATTCTTAGATATTGGAAATTATTAATATAAATTCTGTAATTTTCTAAAATCCAGCATATTGTGTACAATTTGAGAATACAAAGAAGCACACGTCATAGAGAGTGATAGAATTCCGGGTCTTTCAGTCGCACTCCAGCAGGGACACTTTGCATATTAGCCTTTTAGATATATAGCTAAGAGCCCACTTTGTGCAATCTATCCTTTTCATTTTCGTCATTTCCAAAGTGCGTAGCGGTATCTCATTCTTTAAATTGGCATCTTCCTCATGACTAATGTTGTTGAGCATGTTTGCTTGGTTTTTTAGTGGAATATGTGGATGTTCCCTTTACGTAGTATTCATAGAGTCTTTTGCTCACGTCCCATTGAATTATTGCCTTTTTCATGTTTATTTGTAGGACTTTTAACTTATTATGGCTATAAGTAATTTAAATAGTGTGATATTGGCACAAGTATAGGAAATTGAGCAGTCGGCCAGTAGGGACCCTGGAAACAGACCCATATGTGCCGTGACTTACTTTATGGAAAAAGATGATTCTGAATTACAGTGGGGGAAATGTCTTTTTTTTTCCAATAAATAGTAATGATTGAATTGATTACCAATAGGTGTGATTTCCTAACTCACACCATATACAGATATGCCATTCCCAGATGGATTGCACATCCAAATGTGAAATGTAAAATAGTAAAGATTGGTGAAAAAGTATAGGAAAGCATATTCATAACTTTGAGGAAGTCAAAGCTTTCACACAAAGGCCACAGAGAGCACTAAGCATAAAGTTAAGCAGTAAAAAATAGGGCCTCATTAAACATAAGAAATTCCCTTCATGAAAAGACACTACGAAAAAAGTGAAAAGATAAAACAAAGGCCACAAGAGGCTAGTTCTAATTTATGTAAAAAGGAACTGTTATTCAGAATTTAAATTATTTTGGCTACATTATGGTAATTTTCAAGATTTTTATTATAAAAGTATATATAAGTATGTGTTAAAAAGAATATTTGCCTTAATTTGGCTGAATTTAAAAATCAAGGTAAAAATAGAAGTACATATATACCCATAGATTTTAAATAAATTGATTCTTAGATATTGGAAATTATTAATATAAATTCTGTAATTTTCTAAAATCCAGCATATTGTGTACAATTTGAGAATACAAAGAACACATTAACGTTTAAAATTTGATTATTTAGTTTTGCTGTTTGTTAAATTTACTAAAACACTAAATTCTATGATTAAGTCCAACTAAATTCTACATAAAGTCTAAAATGCCGAAATTCATATGGATACATTTTTTCAGTCTAAAATGGAATCCCATAATGTTTTTAAAACTTACTAGGGTCATGTAAGATTAAGTTTTAAATGAAAAAAATAGTTAAAATTGTAGCAAAATTTTAAAATTTTAGAAAATTTAACTCAGGAATGCTAAGAACCTGATATAATGTCACTTAATGATAAGAAATGTACGTGTGTGTGTGTATGTATACAATTGTAAACATTTTATATATGCAATTGCTATTAAAGATCTTATACAATTTCAGTTCCAAAATGTTGGAGCCTTTATTATATTAGATCTGGGCTGTATCTTTTCATCGTAGTACGTTCTAATTCATTTAGAACTAAATATTTATCATAACTTTATTGACGTTCTCTTTTGAATTTAAATTGGCTTTGACATGCCTGAGATGAATTCAGAGAACTGGTTTTTACTCACTTCTTCTACGTTCCCAATTTTGGAAAATTGGTCAAAAGACTTCTGTCACAGCTGTATCCTGAGACGTTTTTATTTGGTTACTGTGGAATTCACACTGTCAATTTTAATGAATCCTACCCCGTTCCAGGGGTGTGCGTCTCCTTCAGGAGCCCATCATCAATATAATCAATTCCATTTTTCCTAATTGCACAGATGTAATTTTTACCTCCGGATGCCGGAGGATTGATGCATTTTTTAATATGTTGCAGGATTGCGAGAAGCTGGAGAATAATTTCGATGACATCAAGCACACGACGCTGGGCGAGCGAGGCGCTCTCCGAGAGGCAATGAGGTAAGGCTGGGTCACCATGGCAACAGTCACAGATGTGGTAAAGAAAAAGTCATTCTTCATTATTGGGGGAACAAATGAGTTCATTGCCACCATTCAGCTCCGTTCTCTAAGGTATTAATTTGTCAGTGAGAGACTTCCCTGGGGGCTGTACTTTGGTTTTGAAGCTGCATAAATGTTAAGCCTCAGTGCACAGTAAAAAATGTAAATGTTTAATTTGTTACTTAAAATGCTTAAGGGGTGTCTTGTTTTATATTTATACTAAACTGTGTGATTGAATGGAAATTTTGTTCATCTAAATTCTGCCTGTTTGTAACAAAGTAAACAGTACAATGGTGGGTGAACGGAGCAGTATTTCCTCCTAATTAATATTTAATTAAAAAGGAGGCACTTAAAATTTTATATTGCATTAGATGATATCATGGTATTTTAAAACAGATTGACATTTTCACACTATCATAGAGCACATGGGTTAACTTTTTTTTTTTTCCCGGAGACAGTGGTCTTTAATGAGCCCGCTGGTGGTTTTTGCACATTACAATTTGTGAATATTTCTTTGCATTTCTTCCCTCACTTGATGCCTTTTTTTTTTTTTTTTTTTTTTTTTAGCAAGCAGTATTTAGATCCATCTGGTCAGGGTCCAGGAAGGCTTTTTACGAGGCATTAAAAAAAGGGTGAGGTATAGAAAACTCATCGTCCATCACATGACACTAACGTACAAGTTGTGAGTTGAACCTCCGAGGGCGATCACCTCCAAGGGCATTGCACAGAAATGGCCTGTTTCCCTGTGTTTAGCCTGTGAAACAAACATGGATTTTTAAAATATCTCTCCTATCAGTGCTCATTTTCTTTTTAGGATCTTAAATCAAAGCTAAACAGCATTTAAAGGCGGAGGAAGGAGAAACCCAGGAGGCAGTGTGGGTACTGTTTTGTTATTGCAAGTACACGGCCACCATATACTCTGGTTTACAGGCTGATTGCCAGGCACGGTTACCAGGCAAGCAGCAGGGGAAAGTAATTAAATTTAATAGAAGCTGCCCTCATTTTGAAGCCACTTCTATTTAAAACCACAGGGGGAGGTAATTAAATTTAATGGAAACAGTAGCTTCTACACAAAGATACATGGTACTTCTGCATAGATGATTATGATGTCACGAAAAGAGGAATAATCTATTGCTAGTTCGGAGAAATTACCAGCTGGAGCAAAGGAGCCTGTTTTATTGTTTAACGTCTTGTTGCTAAAAAAAAACACACACAAAAAAACAAAACAACAACACAAAAAACAAGAGCGGAAAAATAAAACAGAGGACACAATGGAGGAGGTGTGTCTACATAGAATGCGATCAGTCTCAGAGAGTTAAAGTTATTGAACATAGTAGTGAACTAACCATCAGGGGTAAAAATACTGTGTTCAGTCTCGAGGCAGATCTTAGCATGGGCTGCCGTGTCTCACTGTGGTCCGCATCCTCTCCCTGGAGCAGCACAGGGGTGTCAGCGGGCCGGGTACAGCCGTGTGCGCAGACGGAGCGGGCACACCGACAGCGATGCGGGAGCGACAGCTCGTCTCTGCACGTGGCTGCCATTGAGTAGACGGTGCAGGAAGACAAAGGGGGAGAGAGCTGCAGGCCAAGCCGCAGGAGGAGCCGCAGGGGGAGCGTGCGGAGCGAGGGAGGGAGGCGAGGGGGGCGAGGAAAGCCCCCGATTAGCACAGGAAGGACGTCCCACCAAGGGCAGCAGCCCGTTGACTTCGGGGAGAACCGTGTCTGAGGGGATGGTTCCGTTCCGCCCAACGGGAATGACGGCGTTTTAGGAAACGCCCGGATGCTCTGCTCGGGAGAAAGGGAAACCAGTGGTACCCGCTCCGAGGGGTTGCGGGCCGAGATACTCTGAGATGAGGGCCGTCGGGTCACTCCGTGCCGCTTAGTCACATGCGGGGCCGGACTCCGTTGACATAGGCTGCATACATTGCACACACATACACACATGTTACTGGTAATGTTGAGATTCGCAAAACACAGTTAAATAATTGAATGACTAAAAGCAGTGAACAGTGGCCCGGCTGATGCAGCTCAGTGGTTGAGCGTCGACCTAGGAACCAAGAGGTCAGGGTTCGATTCCCCGGTCAGGGCACAGGCCTGGCTTGCGGGCTCCATGCCCATTGGGGGGCATGCAGGAGGCAGCCGATCCATGATTCTCTCTCCTCATTGACGTTTCTCTCTCTCTCCCTCTCCCTTCCTCTCTGAAACCAATAAAAACATAGAAAAATAAATAAAAAATAAAAGCGGTGAACAGCGTGGTGTGCGGGGCCTGGCCCTTCCTTTGGCGTTGGGTTTGCCTTCAGCACATGCAGCAGGGCCTCCTTCCTGTCCATGTGAGGGTCCTGCCAACAATGGTGCGAGGCCGCGTGGCTGACAGGCTCGGAGGAGGGTGTGAAGGGGCAGGAATCCATTATTCTCACCTGGGACCAGTGGTCGCCTCACACGGAGGGTGGTGTCTGGGTCCCACCAGGCTGTGGAGGGATGAGCGCTTTGGCCTGGGCTCGGGGAGGGGATGGCAGAGGCGGGGCAGGTGCAGGGGGAGGGCAGGGCAGTGGCCAGAGGAGGGGTGTTCAGGGGGAGGGGATGGCACTGGCCAGAGGAGGGGTGTTCAGGGGGAG